GTACATCACTGTCACAACAGCGTTTGTTTTCATTCAAAGGCTTTATGGCTTTAATACCTGGTGGGTCGGTCTCTAGTCAAAATGCCCGGGGATGATTTTTTGTCCCAGTCCAGCCCTGTGCACGACACGCAGTTAATTAATTTGAGCAGGTGTATTAAAAAATAAATGGCCACGCCAGCGGTGCACATCGCAAATTAGCTTGCATAGATACATTAGTTGTGCCTCTTCTTAATGACGGTATCTTAGCTAACAACCCCAACTACCAGATTCTACTTGTAATTGGCTAAAAATAACATAACCGGTGAGAGGGACGTTGCTAGCTGGCAGTTTTTTCGAGCGATGTTGAAATTTCCATATTCCAACACTTCAAATGCTTCAGGAGCTGTCCGCTCAGCGCAGCATCAGCACCACGGAAATCTGTAGACTCGAGACAGAATTCACAATGCAGGTGTATGGACCAATGTTTTTTTTTCTGATCAAACCAGAAAGCTTTAATGAGCAGCTGGATTTGTCTCACATCAACTGGCTGGACACAGAGGACATCGAAATGCAGCTGATTGAACTGAAAAGCTCGACTCTGTGGGGTCAAAATTTGCAGAACTACGAACTCAGCTGGAATCCACAGCTGTACGTGTTCATGGAGCTGCATTTTCACCTGCTGGACATCACTACCTGACTAGTTTAACTGTCCTCAGAACATTGCAGAGGCATTATTGACAGTATTTGGCTCTAATATCTGTGTGAGCAGATTTTCTCTCACACAAAGAGAGTCCTCAGGTAGCCGTCTGAATGCTGGGCACTCGGAGACCTGTGTCTCTCAGTGGGAGACCAGAGATCACATTAACATGTGTATCCCTGTATTAACAAACATGCCATATTGGCCCAGTTTATTTTTCTTATCATTGTTGTGAGGATACTATAAATAGAATTTGCATTTTCTGTTGTACAGTTCATTTGCTGTTATGGATAAAAAGTGTCTTTTTTTTGTTTCAAAATAGCTGATAACTATTCGCTGATAGCTGCCAACATCTGTGAACAAATATAATTCTATAAAGTTGTTCTATATAGTGTGTAACTGTTAGTATAGAGCGTTATTAAATTTATTGCTAATGCAATTATATGGCACACTGACCTCTGAGGAAATTTTAGATGGCACTCATCATCAGAAAGGTTGCTGACCCCTGGCATACAATATGATACAGAAAAATTATTGGGTGTCAAGATTTTCCTAGTTTTACACTGGTTGTACTACCAAACATAAAAGGTAAACCAACCCACTGTTTGAATTAAGCTATCCATATTTAAGTGAGTGCTGCAAAACTTGACTAACCATAAAGACCTAATGGAGTCCTCTGGAAGATGAAATATCCCCAAAACAGATCCACCTAAATTGTTCACATTTGACTTTTAAAGAGTCTCTAATTCAAAATTTTTATTTTTTTGTTTTGATGATGAAAGGACTGAATTTCTGTTCACTTACTCTATCCTCCTGTTTTGTTTTTTTTAATTATGCTACTCCTTTCCCATCTTTTCACACGTTTGGAGAACTTGAGTGCTCAAATAGAGCAAAAACATACTGCTTGCATCTCTACCATTTATTATTATTATTATTATTATTATTATTATTATTATTATTATTATTATTATTATTCCCATTTTCTGTTCTTAGACAGAGTAAAGCCTGGCTGACCATGCCACTTCTCCATTTTTATGCCAAGAACAAAAGTCATCACCTACCTTCTCTTGAATTTCCTGCTTCTCCTTTAGGGCGTCCTCAAGCTGGGTTTGAAGGTCACTGATCTGAGCCAGGTTCTGAGCTGACTGAAACCCCCAAAAATGGAAAACAAGGCATGAAGCAACATTTTATTGGATTTAATGATCATTTGAAATGGATCACAAACTTTTTATTGCCAGTGTACATTAAACAAGAAAGAAATCATACCTGGGCCACAGCAGCCTTGTGTTTCTTCATCAGCTCATTGAAGTCCTCTTGGTCCTCCTCCATTCTTGACTGCAGGTCATTCTTCTCTCTCTGCAGACGACTCAGCTGCTCCTCCAGCTGAAAAAAAAAAGATATGCCAAAGATCTACAGAGCAAGAAGGCAACTGCTTCTCCAGAAATAAAACATTTAACTGTCTTCACAAGATTTAGATGAGGTAGGAGATCCTATACAATTCTCTGTCCTATTCAATGCCATGAAAAATATCTGCACACTTCTTGATTTTTTTTTTAGTTAGTTGTATATTTCTTGCACGTAAATGTTTCAGATCATTAAAGTAAATTTACACACAACAGCAGGTAGGATTGAAAACGTTATATCCATAATAAATTAAAACATTATCTAACATTTCCATTGTGCATTTACTCAGATTAACTTTTTCTAATATTAAAATTTGCAAAAAGAAAGAAAGAAATCGGGGAGGGCATAAATACCTTTTCACAATATTGCATGTCCAATTACTCAAAGTAACATCTATTAATCTATCATTATCAGTTACTACGTTGTAAAACAACACTACCAAAAGAGAAATTTAAGATGTTGCAGAATATATTTCAAAGTAAAATGAATGAAAATCTAAAAGAATGTTGGAAAACGAGTGGAGATAAAATGGCTCACAATACTGATTACACATTAACATTACTCACTGTGCAGTATTTCTGCATTATGATGAATCCCATTAACGGGCATCTGGAACTGGATAAGTAACAAGAGTGGTTTATAAAATTCAGAGCTTTTTAAGATCTTTTTAAATGAGCAAGTAAACTTTCTTATGCATCTTTCGCACCAGATGTACCATCTTTAACATAAAAGGTGTGTAGACACCCTAAATCTACAGGAGAGACCAGTGACCCTTTGCAGAAAGCTCATTTCTGCAGTTTATATCCACAATCTAATTCTTTAGTCATTAGAGTTCATGACCATAAGTGAGGTTGTCAGCATCAAAGTAGCAGAGGCCCAGTTCATCGGTCAATCTCCTGCTCCTTTCGCCTGTTATTCATAAAGAAGACTCCAAGATACTTAAACTCCTCCACTTGGGGCAGTCACTTCTCCCTGATCCTGACACTACTCACAATACACCATCACAATAACTTTCTGGTGTGCAAAGTCTGTCCGACATCATCCCTCGTCACCTCATCCAACTCATCACTGGGCGGTGATCAGGTCCTCTCTTCACCCAAGTGTCCAGAACATATGACAGAGTGGATGATAAGATTAAAATTCTTATCGTCACAATCATACAAAATTGACCTGCACCGAGAACACATGTCCTGATGCCACATGATCTTATGGACATCCTTCAAAGACGGTGTTCATTACAGACAAATTGTTATGTGCACAGGTCTAATAACACCATCTTACAGGCTTTTCCTCACACTGTCCTTCAGGTCTCGCTGTTCCCCGTGTTTGTTATAGACAGCATTAATTGTGATTGATTTTAGTTGTTACCATGTCTAGAAATTGTATTAATCATCCAGACAGTTTCTGTTACGTGTGGGGTTCATTCATGACGGAAGCACAGCGTCGCCCAATTACCACAAACCTTAAGAAAACCTACAAATTGTGCTTTGGCTGTCTGCTGGATGACCAGGATAAATGTTGGGCTCCACACGTCATCTGCAACAGTTGTTCCAATGGACTGCGTGACTGGCTAAATCTGTGAACGGCCACAATGCAGTCCCGATGATGTGGCTGACATAGAGCCTACATATGCTGCTCTAATCACAGAACTCAGCAGAGGTTATCCAAGCTCCCTGATATAACCAACATACCTAATTAAGAGACTGGCAGCCTGGGAACTGTGCTGAAATAATCCTACTTTTGTAATAACTGGGATAATATACAAAATAAGAGGAGAGGTTGTTGGTGCAGGGCAATGGATCAATAAATCATGACTAATGTGACTATGTGAAAATGTTAACAAATCAATTTAGGCACAGAGTTAACACAAAGAGCTAGTGACACTCAGCGCTTAGTGAAAAACAGTCTAATGGGATAGAGAATGATCCAAACATCCATAGCTTCAAAATCGGGGTTTAGATCATAAAACTAAGATTTCACTTTATTTTTATATTTATTTTTATTGAAAGCACCGAGTGCTTAGGTGTACCAAGATGCACTTGATGCACTAAAAATATCCATGCGGAATCTGGGGCAGATTCATTTACATATCACACTTTCTTTTTTTAATCCACTGTTGAGTGCTTTTATCAGTGCTGAGTGCTGATAAAAGCTGCGAATGCATCTCCATCTCTGGAGCATGTGATGGATACTTGAAAAAAGTGCCAGTAACCAGCATCAAACTCTCATTTAACAATAGACTGTTAGTGTAATTTCAGCCCAATTACATGGCCGGGCTCTTTGTTTTTCTCTCTCTTTTATTTTCCCTCTCAGATTGCTCGAAGCTCTTTGTGGAAAAATAAAGCTGTTGAAAACATGTGTGACAATTTTCTCAAAACACTGCAATTACAATGGGAGAAGCATGCAAGCAGCAGCCATCTAAAAGAAATGTCATTTGCATGATTTTATTTCTACTGAATTGCAGTGTGTCATGTAGTTAGGGCTGCATAAAAAATCCTCCATTTATGTAATTACAGTTTGTGTTATCGGTTCTCACAGCCTTTTACTTTTCCAGCAAGCTGGGTGCATGAAGAGGTCATTCTCAAAGATACCATTTCAAAAACAAACAGCTGCTGGCACAGTGATCTTGATTCCTTATCTCATCTTATATACTCCTCCTTCACATTTTACTGAATAGATTACACTTTCTGTCAAAACAGTTAAGCAGTATTAATATCCCAAGATGAATATTTTCTGCAGTACAACACTTTTCAACGTTCGCCAAACAACCTGAGAAAGAACAAATGACGGCTAAGACATCCAGGGTAGAGGGACAGAGGCCATAACACATTCTAATTTAACACATACTGTGAGTAAGTCTGAAGAGGAAGAACATCATGCATTAACCTATTAAAATAATCCACTCATTCTCTTCTGGTTATTCTTATTCAAGACAACAGTGATAACCACCATGCCACAGAGAAAGTAACTGACATCTATCACTCCGGAAATGATTGCAAACCACTTCGAGCACCATTATCCACAAATAGGGAAAACCTGGAAAAATAATAAACCTTTCCAAGGGTGGCCAGCCGACCAAAGTTACTCCAGGAGCGCACCAACAAATCATCCAGGAGGTCACAAACGAACCCAGAACAACAGCTAAGGAACTGCAGGCCTCACCTGTCTCATTTAAGGTCAGGAGTTCATGATTCATCAGTAAGAAACAGACTTCAAGAGGCAAATATGGTGGAATAGTGTGACGTAGGGCTGCTCGATTATGGCAAAAATGATAATCACGATTATTTTCACTGAAATTGAGATCACGATTATTTGACGATATTTATTTAACCCTTTAAGACCTACTATAGAACCAAGTCCACCAGAGCTTATATAATTTTTTTTTACATGCTGTAGTGCCATTTGTGGGAGCATTTCAAGTTGCTATACATCAATACAACTGTTATA